TGGCTTTGAACTTATGATCTTCCTGCCTTGGCCTCAAGAGTTGCTAGGATGGGGCTGGGGATGTGGCTCAAGCGGTAGCGTGCTCGCCTGGCATATGTGCGGCCCGGGTTCGATCCTCAGCATCACATACAAAGATGTTTTCCGTCAAAAACTAAAAAATAAATATTAAAAAATTCTCTCTCTCTCACTCTCACTCTTTAAGAAAAAAAAAAAAAGAGTTGCTAGGATTACATGGGAGCACCACCGTGCCCAATTATAAGGAAGTCTTATAGTGATGTTAATATAGTTAAGTATCTTAGTTGTGATAATGGATGCACAAGTTTTTATATGATAAAACTGCAAAGCTATATATACACACATGCATACAGGAAAACATGTGAAAGTGGTTAAATATGATTGAAATGTAAGAATTGAACCAAGGTCCATTTCTTTGATATACTATAATTGTGTAAGATGTTCAGACTGGGGGAGGCAAGAGAAAAAATACATTGAATTCCTTGTGTATGTCTTTGCAATCTCGACAAATTTAATTATTTTAAAATACAAAGGTAAAACAAATGAGTAGTGGGTTGAAACTACACTTTGTACTAATGAAAGGATTGAAATCTTACCTTTGCTGCCACTTCAGCACTAATCTCTTCTTGAGTTTCTGCTAATCTTTTTTTAGCCACTTCTGTTCTTCTATCGCAATCTGCAATGAATGACTGCAGGTGATCCATGGCCTAAAATGTTTAATTAAAAAATAATTACTATCAGAAAGTTAATTTTATTCAGAAATACCTTTATTTAAAAACTATACTTTGTTTTTAAAATGTTAATAAGTGGAAACTACGGAAGTCTTAAAAAATAATAAAAGCAGTTTCAATTGTAAATCCCAAATATTATTTGTCTTCCACCAAACTGGCAAAGAATAAACATAAATAATTCCAGAAAGATGGGGCTGGGGTTGAAGTTCAGTATCACAGCGCTCGCATTGCTTGTGTGAGGCACTGGGTTCGATCCTCAGCACCACACAAAAAATAAATAAATAAAATAAAGGTATTGAGTCCATCTACAATTAGAAATATTTAAATAATAATAATTATTATTGCAGGAAAGATAATGCTATTAAAAAAACCTCCACTTTCATACTCTATTGAAGAAAGCACAAACCAATGCAGCCTTTATAAAAAGGCACTGTGATTTTTTTTACTGAAAACCCTTTAAGGGGCTGGGGCTTTGGCTCAATGGAAGCATACTTGCCCAGCATGTGTGAGGGACTGGGTTCGATTCTCAGCACCAGAATTGAACAAGAAGTTGTGGTTAGTAAAACTTCCACATTTTTAAAATAAAAATAAATAAAATAAAGGTTTGTCAACAACTGTGTGTGTGTGTATGTATGTATATATATATGTATGTATGTATGTATGTATGTGTGTGTATATATATATATATAAAGAAAGAAAACCCTTTAAGGGTCCAGGGGAAAGATGAAGGGAAGAAAGGGGGAAATACTGGGGACTGACATTGGCCAAATTATATGGTTATATTCTGTGCATGTGCAAATATGGTAACAAAGAATCCCATTGGAATG